CAATGATGCGTTTTTCCCTCCTCAGAACGTTTTTTATAGGGTATTGGTAGGTACTTATAAAGTGTTCCAAAATGTTTCCAATATGATGGCATATTGCCACTATTGTTATTAGAAATTTAACTATCGAAATGCAGCCCACTGCAGGCCTCAGACTAGAAGAGACCACCATACAATAATATTATATAAATTATTTATATCATAGTTACCTATATATGGCTATATGATTATGAATTATGATCGTGGTTGAACGTTTACGTTCACGTTTATTAAAAATATTTAAAATAGGTAGGTACGTCGTATGCATGTAAACGGATTTAAAATTAATTAAAATTAGTTTTTTTAATACACGTGTGATATATATAACCGTTTATTCCATATGAATGAGTGCACGACTAACGAAATAATAATATGAAGGTATCACAAAAAATAATCAAATTGTGCCTGCGAATTTCGGTGTTTTCTGGTACATACGAAAAGACAACTGGAAACCCGAAATATACGCTTCTCAGAAAGCTTATGGATTGCGGGAGAAGCACAAAATAAATAAGAAAAATCACAAGAACACATTTAGAAGGAAATGTAGTTAAAGAAAAAGTGCACAATAATTAATATGTATCCGGGAAAAATCATGGATAGAAAATATGAAAATAATAGAGACAAACATAATATTATATAGGACTAAATCCGGTAGGTAGAATCGCTGGACGTTGAACTCGCACCACTTGATGGAGCTAATAATATGAAGTATATGTCCCCATGACATCAGTCGATGTAGAAAGTTCAGTCGAAAACATTTTGCTACCAAATCGTAGTCACATCGTGTTACACATTTTTAATTTTTTTTACATTCCTATTTATGTACATATTTTGATTTTTTTATTACAAGAAAGTCCGTTTCCTAGTTATTGCCTATAGTCAAACACGTTTTTAATTTTGTATCAATTGAATTGATTTAATGTCTACAATAATTCTACATCAAATATTTAAATATTGTATTTTTCTGTGGCAAACAGGCGTAACCACACAAACTAACCAATAATTCGTATACACGATACACCGCCCCCCAACAAAAAGAAATAGAAATAATAATAATGAGATCCTGGCAACGAAATATAATATTGAAAGTATTGACACTTTATATCAATACATCGTTGCCAGCTGGAAATCAGATTATTTATTTATTTATTTTCTGATTAAGAGGTTAATAAATTAATAATGTAATTTTTCTCAACTCGACAGAAGATGAGCTATGGTTCAGTGGTTCACAAATAATTTGTAAATTTGAAACCAATGTTTAATAGGTAAGAATGAAAATATTATTTAAAATATATAGTTAATATTGTTTTTTTTTTTTTTGTACCTATAAATGGGTAATAAATGAACTAAGATGATTTATCTTAGTTAATTATGGTATAATAATATTATGCATGTCGATTGCACGATGTGTAATAATATGTGATTAATATAAACGTATAGTGACATCTCGCGGCGAACTCAAATATATTACAACGATTTCCGTTCAAGGAGAACATAAGCTATCGGATTTTCGTCAAAGACGTGCACATTTTATCAGCAGCTGGATTGGAAAAACATGGTGATATTGAAATTATGATAACATTAATTATTAAGGCGTTACATACAAGTTCACAAATCACAACACAACTATCTATTTTCTGATTCCAAATCCGAGACCTCGATTCTTGGTCTCTGAGCGCTACTTGAAGTCCTGAACGTACTTTGTGCGTCTTGCACGAATAATTTCACTAATCGACCACCGGACGCTGTCACTCGTTTTTTAGACGTTAATATAAAGGTAAGGTATGAATTTCATTTGTCAAGGATTCAATGTTCTTACCCGGGATTGTTATCTCTTACTACTTACCTATCCTTCATAATATTTATTTATGAGTAGATGTAGGTTTCAAGTCGTAGAATATTACCCATAATCGTGATATTTGGTTAATCATTTGCATATATTATTTTTTTTTTAGCCTATCGACCAATACTGTAATCATGGGAGCTGCCGCTTTACCAGTTTTAATTTTCACTGCTTTCTGGGGTGTGGTCGGCATTGTGTTACCATTCATCATTCCAAAAGGACCAGATCGAGGGTAATTAAATTTTAGTCGCATTTGTTAAACAATGCTTTAAGTTAAAGTAATATAATTGTGGTATTTTTTAGAGTTCAACAACTCGTGTTGATGATGACAGCAGCAACCTGTTATTTGTTGTGAGTATGATAAGCTTTACATAACTAGTGTCATAAAGTAATTATTAATGAATAAGATATTTATCAAGCATTTTTTATTGTAATACTATAATCTATTTTAATATATTTACCTATATAAATGTTCGCTCAGATGTGTAGCCAGGATTTTTTGGTGTTTGAGGGCGGGTGGAGTGGTTTTAATTTTCCATTGTAGTCATCAGTCTTCATATTAATAATAACAAACATTAAATAGATATCTGAGTTATATACATAGTACTGGGTTGCAAACCTTTTTTCAAATGATAGCATTTTGCAATTAAAGTTTCAGAAAAATATTAAGTGCCTATACACCCGTGTATGATCTCTCTGTCCTACAAACCCATAAGATAACAAATTGTACGCTCGGCAGATCACGTTTAGCTCTTTTAGTTTAAAAATTAGAGTGATTTGACCTCTCATCAAATTTAGAAGTAATATCAGAATATTATCTAGTATCTTCATAGGTTTATTTTGTATTTAAATTTTAAAGTAAGTCATACAAAATGCACAAACAATTTACAATTTTAAAATACTCATAACTTCTTTAAAATTAAAATCAAAAAAAATCTATGGAGATCACTAGATAACATTCTTACTTCTAAATTTGATGAGAGGTCAAATCACTCTAATTTTTTATTAAAACATACAAGTAACATATTTGGCTTTATCCATCAATGTATTATTTTTCAGATTTGATTTGTTCGAATTCATTGATTTTGGAAAATAAAGATAATATAGTATGTTCATGCAAATATTGAGTGTAAAATTAATCATTTTTGAGTGTATATATTTTTTTCCATTAAATGCAACTATACAATATTGAACAATGAAATAAAAATATTTTTACATACCATTAAAATTTGGATAACACCAACCCCTGATATTGTACATAATTTTGTGTATAAATACAGCCGATGGGGGGTGTTTAAACACCCAAAACTCCCCCTGACTTTGCCACTGTGCATTGTTACGTTACACACTAAGTTTCATTACATTTGAGTATAAGGTTTAAATACAAATAGAGAAGTAGAAATACATTGTGTTTAACAGTTATTTTTTATTACAATTTAAACTCAAAATAAATTATGTTTTTCAGTTAATGGAAAAAAAAAACTGTACAGTTTTGTCTCACTTCATAATAAATCATAATATAATTTTAATATTCTATTTTCTCCTGTCGTAACATACATATTATGATTTAATTCTGAATGTAATGACTTCCCTTTAGATTCATTTTTAGTTGGGTGAGGCATACAATTTACTAACCTAGATGATAAAAACATATATTAGAAGAGATTGTACCTAATACCTATTACATTAGATGAATTAAGGATTAAAAGGCTCTATCGATCATTATATTAATACAGTATACAGTATTCAAAAGAGAAAAATACATATATAGGTCTAACTCATTGACTGCCATATGACCTCCGGCGGTGAACTATAATTCTCAAATTTTATACTTTTGAGACCGGTGCCCATTGTTGATCGCCCATATAACCGCCGGCGACCTTAAATTTATATGGTTTTATATTATTACTCATGGTTCTAGACTAAATAGATCGCAGTGGAAATCATTACAATTTTTTTGATGTAATAAATATATTATTTTTATATTTTTAAATGTTTTTTTCAAATACGATTATCGTATAAACAAAGTTGGAATGACATGGAAAAATATGTTGAGTGTTGATTATACATATCGTGTGACCGCCAGCGATCACATGGCAGTCAACATGTTAAATAATTGATTCTATAATAATATTATGTATTCTTCTATATTCAGTTTATTTGTACAATATTAGATTAAATATAATGTATATTAATTAAACAATATAGTAATAAGTTAGGACTATCACAATTTTTTTTGGTTTATATCAAATGTGGTGAAAGTATTGCATTGATATTTAAATTTTCAATGTCATTTTTTGTTTTTATTGGTCAAGATTTAATTTTATGCATATTGAGCTACAATTTTATAATAATAATTATGTATTATTTTTTAGTTGGTTGTGTTGTTATATGGCTCAAATGAATCCACTAGTTGGGCCAAAATTGAATCAACATACAATTCTAATAATGGCCCGCGAATGGGTATGAAATCTCGTTTATTTTTAAACTATTATATTATATTTATTCATATTTATTTATTTTTTCAGGGAAATTTAATACAGTAATGCCGATACTGAAGAGAAATGAAAAATTAATCATAAGCTATTTGTTAATATTTAATCATTCCTTTTTTTTTTTAGTTCTTTTTAAATTGTCCATTATTTACTTATCTATTATACACTTAGATTTCAATAGAACCATTGGAGAACATGGATCATTCTTAACTGTTTTAGTTTGTGTAATATGTATAAAATATAATTTTAAATTTTAATACAACATCAAACCAATTTATATTAATTATTATTTATTTCCTACCTTTATTCACATAGTTGCATATCCAAAGTTTCTCCAAAAAAGATAATTGTGCTGATCTATTGTATATACCTAACTATGTGAGCTTCATTTAGAAATTGTAAGCTCTTAAAATGTGACTCAAATTTAATTCGGCTACACAGGTAAAAAGCTATATAAAAGTATAAACTAGAGCTGAATTCTTAATTTTTAAGTGTTTGTTAAAATCTGTATTCAATTTGTCATAATATTTAAATGTATACATCTGATTAGAGTATTAGACCACTTAAGCTAGATAGTACACAATCACATCAAAATTAAAATTGAAAATTTGTTCATCATTGAACTCTTAAATCGGTATGGGTACTAATAATATGTTAGTTGGAGCTTCAACAGGAGCGCTGATATCGATACTAGGAGATGTAGATAGTTCACCATTTAAGTAGTCTAGAAGTTTCTTTCGGTCGGGTCTTTTTATATATGGTATATTTTCAGCCTAAAATATTATAATTCAAAATAATTTAATTAAAACAAAACGGATGCATAGTTAATTCTCAAAGAATATTAAACAACTTACAGCTGCATGTTGCACATACGCTGGATGTGCGAGAGTAACGTTATTTAATAAAAATAACAGACATTCCAATGTATAATACTCTTTTGGTGCAACGTCTTTACCAGATCTAAAATAGCATACGATAAGTGAGTAAGTTTATAAGATAGATTTATTTACTAGAATGGCAGTGAACGTAATAATATAATTTTTGCATTAGGTTGTAAACTATTGCTCGTAATGTCTGTGTCTACATCAACAGATGGTATTTAGATATTGAATTGTATGCCAGTTTACTTACCCAAACTTCAAGTAGTTTGTATTAACAGTTTTTGACCAATATAAGTCACCAAATAATATGTAATTGCCCTTAGATATGATTTCCTTTTTGTTAATATTGTACATCCTTAAGCAAGTCAGAGGATCTGTCATTTTGAAACAATTTACAAAAAACCAATGCTAGAAAAGATGTTTAAAATTTAAAATAATTAACTTTAGAAAAACATTTTGTGACTAAGTACTAAGTAGGTACCTATAATTATAATCAGTGTTGGGTAGTAACGTAACGAAAGTAACACGTTACATAATTTCATTAGAATTATTTTCAAGTAACGAAAATGTAATGGAAATTACTTTTGAAAAGTAATTTCTATAGAATAACGCGTTACAGTTTCGAATTATTAAGTACCTACCTACCTATTGCGAATTGAAAAAAGATATATGTATGATGCAGGTATTATTATGTTTACCAATCTAAGATGTCTAATTGCACCGTAAGTCACGAGAACAGTTAATTAAATTTATTATTTAATTTGATATTCCTTTAAATAGGTTTCCTATGAATATAGCTTGTGTGGAAGACTACATTTTATACGATCCTTTTAACTATACAGGTTTTATAAAGAATTTGCTTGTTCAATTTGCCTGCAAAATTTGAAATTTTTTTTTATTTTTGTAACGAGTAAACTAACTTAATTACATTTATCTCTTAGGTAGTAACGAGTAAAGTAACTTAATTACTTTTTAAAAGTAACTTACCCAACACTGCCTATAATATTAGTATGTACAGTAATATAATCTGTGGTAATAAGTAATAACGTGTTAGTCGTTAGATAATGGTGGTACGTACTTTATATTATAATCTATATTCTGTGGTACTGCCAAACAATAAAATATTAGTAGTAACAAAGTAACAAGTGTTGAAGTGTCATTGTATTAATGTATTATAACATGATGATAACTGTGTCTAAACTAATTAGTAATTTCAAAACTAACGAATTAAATGTGTATCACGATAAGATGGGTACCTCCCACCTTATAATCTATTATTGTACATATTATACATCTATATCTATAAAGCTAATATGGATATTAATTGTCCTTACAGGTTATACCCACTAATGCTACAAGATTTTTAGATTATAGTCTAAAATTATAATCTAAAAACCTTGCTAATGCTATAATACCTACCTACTATTTTTGTATAGGTAATGCCTATGTCACGATGCAGAGAAGATGTTATGGTAATGGTGGTCAGGTTGCCTATGTACTTGTCAGATCCACGTATTGACGTATAGTACACATCAGTTGTTATAATTTCGTTCAAATTGTCTGTAAAAAATAACTAGGTTTGTGTATTTTTAGATATTTTGGTTACAGTATGAACTGTTTACGAGAATCTTTGTTTTACATTTTCAATCCATATTTATTAGTTTTACAGATTGAACATATTTTTAATCTTAATTTTAAGATTCTGAGCGGAGCTATGAATGTATGGATTTCACAATAGTGTTTGTTTTATTATTATTTACTTTTTGTGTCTGTGTACACAATAAGTAGTCGAAATATCGATTATTTCAATGCTTTGATTTTCAACTTAAATATCTTGAAAGTGTATCAAGTTAGAGCGTTGGGAGGTTAAAATTTAAAACTCCAAGTAGTTTTCAAAAACGCCATGTAAATGGCTCGTCCGCGTGGTGCTTTTACGCGCGTGAATAACGCGGCATTGTAACAAATTACAAAATCACGCGACGTTATAATAACGCTTTCTGTTTGACAGAGCCCCAAATTGTATTCGTAAGGTCAAAAAGCGTGAAAATGTAATACAAGGCTCCAGGTATGTTGTTAAAATAGCAGTTACAAAGTATTTAAAATACCTATACAGCCACAATTTTTTTTTTTAAAGTATTTGAAGTTCAAACTATTACAACATTTATCAAATTTAAAATTGAATAATGGTTTCGAGGCCTGCTCGTGTGTCTTTAATAAGGGGCAATGTTTAGGCAATATGCAGTTTGGTTACGCCATGTCATTTGTGTTGGTCGTCAATGACGATTAGTAAGAGAGTGTGATTGTATGCGGGTAACGGGCAGACTTGGGTAAAATACTTTTTAAAAGTATTTCAAATACATTTTCCAAATACTTAAAAAAAAGTATTCAGAGTATGTATTCAAATACTTTATGATAATAATATTCCTAAATATTTGGAATACTTGTGAAGTATCCCAAATATTTTTCGAATACTTTTTTTTTAGTAGTTTTAGATTTCAATAGCAAAAATATTATTTTTTTTAATTCTTTGTTTATAAATGAACATTATTATAATCTCAACAATACACACCTATTTGGCTGTCTATTAGTTATAAATATTATATTCAAATTAATATAGTTAATAACTAATAATTAGTAATATATTAGATTATACCTATATAAAAAAAAATAAGTATTCCGAATACTGTACTCCGAATACTCGTAAAAAGTATTCAAAATACCGTATTTAATACTTTCAAAAAAAAGTATTTAAAAAGTATTCCGAATACTGTATTCAGAATACTACCCAAGTCTGGTAACGGGCTATCTACGCAAACAAAAATATTGTATGATTACAATAAATTAATATTGTAATATTTAATATTCATCTTTCAAGAATTATTGACGTGTGCGTGCGAGAGTTATACATACGGCGACGGTCGCCCGACGCGGCATTACAATTTACAGCCAAATGTTCATGGCATGTGAATTGCCAAAAAAATACTCCTCAAAACATGATATGCTGGAGATCCCTTAACCAACATAGTAACATAGTAGGTATATGTATATTATAATATTATAATATTACATTTAAATACAAAATGGGATCGTTTTATTAATCTCTAAATTCTACATACCTAATATCGAAAACTTTATTTTGTTTTAATCATACGGGGCACGGGCTGGGCCATTTTGAACGTCATGCAACACTACACATTTGAGATTGAACAGAATTCATTAAAAATAGTAATTGATAATAATATACAATCACAATAAATTGAAATATAGAAATTACACATAATAATATCTATATTGTCTTTATGATATATTAAACCCATAGGTGCAATTTGGGGGGTCTAGTGGGGGGGCTTAGCCCCTCTAAGTTTTTAAATATATTCATTCTTAAATCCATCTAATAAAAAAAATGACGCGGGTCTGTATTGATTTTATAAATTTAGCCCCCCCCCCCCCCCCCAAATCAGTTGTCCAAATTGCGTCTATGAATAAACCGTGTTTATATTAAACCTTGATTTTCATATTATATTCTGTGTTTTTATTGATTATAAGTTCACACGAGCCACGCCGGCAAGGAGAAACGCTCCATCGTCGGAGTGGTGCGTATGAATTTTAACCAATTTTAAATGAAAACTTACACGGTAAGTCACGTACGATACGCGTCCATGTGAAACGGCGGCCCGAAGGGGGATTGCCGTTTAAAATTAACTTAACATTATAAATTCTTAGCTTCCTACAAAGATTTGAAGGGTTACGAGGAAAAACGATAATAGTCAATATTCCTAAAATGTTCAGTATATTATACATATATAATACCTTTTGGTTAGTTTCATAACGAAAAAAATCAAATAATATTATATAATTGTTTTTTTTTTCTTTCATTTGACTATGATCGTTTTTCCCCTTAACCCTTCATTTACTAAAAGTAATCTGTAGTCACTTAAAAAACTTAATACCTATTTATTTGTTACACAATTATAATATTAGGCAATAGGAATACCTATTCAGGTAGGATAGGTACCTATTATATGAGTTCATAAAAGGTCATTAATTTTCATTGAATTTTCATTGTTATGATTATATTTTCAGCTAAATAGTACAAAGTTGTTATTATTTATTTGTCACATTTTTCATTAAGATAAAAAGATCAAATTTCAAATTTTTATTTCATAAACTATTGTAAAAGATAGGTATCATTTAAAATTATCATTTTTTATAATTCTTTAGAAACGCTAGTTGTCTTCGTCTTCTTTGAGCATGTTTGAGATAAATTCTAAAATACTCAATTGTACAACACGCTTGTTATTGTTGACCTTTTGCATGAAATTTATCACCATATTAGCGAATCTCACGTCAGAAAATGCCTCATCAGACTCAGTTTTTTTTGGAATTTTCGGGGAAACTTCTTCAACTTTGAAATCATGAGTTTTTCCTGTTGATAGTAATACAGTAAATATTATTTTGAGGTGATAAATATATTATATAGTAATTAAAATATTTTAGATATCAATTGTAGAGATTTTACAATGATGAGTGTTTTTTGTGTGTGTGTGTGGTGTAGTGATTGGTACACTAATAATATCTTATTGAAATAATGATAAGATTTTCAACTACCTTTTCTGGTGGTAAAGTTAATATAGTTTGCGCAATCAAGTGATTAAAATAGAAAATCTCGAGTAATTTTCAAAAGCGTAATTTGAGTAGTAATTTTCAAAAAAAACAAATAAAAAATTATGGAAAACCGGAATTAATACTCAAACCCAGTTTTGGAATAACAAAAAAAAAAAAACACCTTAGATACATTATTTTTTGATTTTTCTCTGAAGTTAACATTAGCATTTTCTATATGCCATAAAATTTTTAAAATATTTTTACTCTATTTGAGCTATTTATAGATATAGAAAATTTTTTTTTTAAAATCATTGTCGATAAAAAATTGATCGCTCTGTGAAAAAAGTTGAAAATTTAACACAATAGAGTTCTCATAAGTTGTAATTAGTGTGATTTTCGAAAAAAATTGAATGTAAATTCTTAATAATTTTTTATGAGATTCTGATGTTAGAATTTTTATCAAATTCGTCAAAATTTGTAATTTATTTTGTATTAGAAATTCATAAAAAATGTTATCTCTAACCTATGTAAGACTTGAAAACTTAATACGATATCATGTTATGAGCGTTTAATGTTAAATTTTTTATGAACAAAGTATAGAGGATCAACATTTTGCTGGTACCGTGATTCTACTTATCTAAACTTTAAGTGTCAGTTATTAATTCAATTTTAATACATTGAAATTATCAGAAAAATATTCTGCTTCATATTATGAAATAGAAAATGTATTCAGTCTTTGGAAAAAAAAAACAATGAAAATGATAGAATAGTAAAAAAATATGTTTTTCATGACTAATATTCATACTTAAATAGTGCCTATATTATTTATAAAACTATTAGTAATTTTTGAGATATAATATTGATTAAACAATTACTATTTATTTAATGAATCAATAGGATCCCTTAAACATGATTAGTCCATTAAATTAATACATTGTTTTATACAACTCGGCATAACTACATAAGAATACTGTTTATTATTATGCCCTTACTCTTGTTGGACGGGGTTGAGCCTGAAGTCGAAGGTCTTTCGTCAATTGATTCATCCACCAAATCTGAAAATTATCAAATAATAATTAATCTAATATAGGAAGGTCCACAGTTTTTAATAAAAGAGTGTTATTATTAAGATCCTGATCTTAATAAATGTCAAAAATAATAATTTTTATTCCTATGATGAATATCCATCCTCTAAGGTCATTGTATTCATTAATCAATAATCATCAGTGCCTAACATCTTATTATTTGCTCAGTATCATACAATATTTTATTTTAATGGGTTTTTTCTATGATTAAGTTAGTCTTAATTTGACTATTAAGACATTTAGTGGACTTTTTCAAAACATAATATGGTATACAATTACGATATATTTAATTAAGCTTATTTTATTATTATTATGCTCTTACTTTTGTAAGATTGGGTAACACTTGATGTCGAAAGTCTTTGTTCTGGTGATTCAATTGTTGATTCTGAAACTGAATAAGCAATAATTAAGCTAATATAGTAGGTATACACCCTGTTTTTCATATAGAAGTATAGGTAGGTAATTTAAAAATTTAAATAATGATTTATTTTTATTAAGAGTCTGTACAAAAATGTGTTGCTTTTAAATTAATATTAATATTTTTAATAACCATAATTGTAGAAATACGTATGATATATTTCGATATAATATTATAAAGGTAATATATTATATCATAATTCATAATATACTAAGGGGATATAGTCCCTGCTCATCGAGCACCCAAAATTATTTAATCTGTAGATTTTTAAAATTTTTTTTTAAATATGGTTAGATTAGACTTAATTATTAGTAATTAAGGTTAGATTAGACTTAATTTAACTATTGAGTAGACTTTTCTGAAATAAGCTGAAATATAATATTGTGTACAAATACCATATACTTAATTAACTAAGATTAAAATTTATTTTATTATTATTATGGTCTTACTATTGTTAGATTGGGTAATACTTGAAATCGAAGGTTTTTGATCTGGTAATTCAACTGTTGAATCTGAAATTGAATAAGCAATAATTAATCTCACTTACCATTTTTTTCATATAAAAGTATGCATACGTAATTTAAAAATTAAAATACTGATTTTTTTTTTATTAAGAGGCTGCAACAAAAATGTGTTGTTTTTAAATTAATATTATTTTTTTTTGATAGCCATAATTGTAGAAAATATACATATGACATATTAATATATTATGATATAATATTATAAAGGTAATATATTATAACATAATACACTAAGGTGATAATATTATGGTCCCTGCTCATCAAGCACCCAAAATTATTTTATTTGTAGATTTTTTTATTCTGGAAATTCAATTGTGAAATCTGAAATTGAATAAGCAATAATTAATCTAACCTACCCATTTTTTGTATAAAAGTATAGGTTATTTAAAAATTAAAATACTGATTTATTTTCAGTAAGAGTCTGAAACAAAAATGTGTTTTTTCAAATTAATATCCATTTTTTTTAACAATAATTATAGGTATTTATAATATGATATAGGTATATATAATACCATATACTAAGGGATCTGAATCCTGCTCACCAATCCCCCCCCCCAAAAAAAAAAAAACCAAAATATTCATAATTAGTTATACGTTATAGCTATAATTTGTTGTTGTTGTATGTTTAATTTTGTTTAGTTGACATCATAGAAGGCTAAGCCTCTCCAAACATTTTTTTAAACTTATTAAATATTATTATAGTAGCCTAGGGCTTTATCCCTTCCCAAATCTAGGACGATATTTGCACCTTTGTTTACAACCAATTGTAAAGAGTTTATCACTAGGGTCCACCGTCCACACTATGCATTCTGGATGGTTTTCTACGTAACATGAAGCAGCCAGAAGGTGGTCAGTTTTTACCAGAACTGCCAAAGCGCATAGTGTGACGAAACATAACAATGAGTTATATTTCATGCTTGTTAGTAATATTAGTACATGAATTAATATTTAATATGTGCACTAAAAATGTAATAATACCTTGGCAAAATTTCTTGACTGTTTCCAATTGTTGTAACTGTTTTGTGTCCATACCATTTGATGACTGTTGTGTATTACATTGGACAAAACTTGAATCCCCAACAGATAAATATATAAATCCACTGTAATTAATATATTTGACAATATGCAAGTACAATGTGGTACCTTCATTGTAAATTTCATCAACTTTGTCACCGGAAAACCTAACTTCAATCTTAAAAACAAAAAATAATACAAACATTTATAATTATTTTTATTGCTATTTGATGTTCATAATAATATAATTTCCTTACTTGTACAGAATCAACCGAAATATTTGCCTTTCTGATTAGCTGTTGTTGGCTATTAAACGTCTTTTCACTATCGATGTGGGTACAGACACCAATGACATCTAATTTAAATTACAAATAACCCGTATACAGTTTGAAAATTATAGTGTTACAACTAACAAGGGTTCAAAAAAAATAAAAATAAAAGGGTGATAATATTCCCTAAAAAAAGTCTACACATAATATAATAATATATCTTTATATTATTTAAAAAGTATTCGGGTATACTTTCATAGATGCATAGCAGTACAAAATTAAATTGTACGTATTTAAAATAATAGAAAATAATATTCCTTTAACAAATTGTTATACTTATGTTTATAATATATTAGAACGCTTATAAATGCTTATAAAAAAAAAATTGTGCTAATATATTATATCAAATACATATTTGATAGTCACGAGCCGAAATGGCCGCGCAATGATATTATTTTCTGAATAAAGACTTTTTTATTTCTATTAGTATTATTATTATTTATTATTATTTTAACTTTCAACAACTTATCAATATTGATTTATAGTATTTATGTTAACCCCAAAAATCACAATTCTATATCTTTGTATACTAGGGCCCGGATTTTAATGCTCTAAAAACCTTTGAAAAATGTTCTAAAAATATATTTTACCGCAATAATGCCCTTTTAAATGTAAATATAAAACTATTTTTTTAATGCAATGTTTTATTAGGTACCTATCTAATTTATAATTTACAATAAATTTAAAATAATTTATTAAACATTTATAAAAAAAAAAAAACCAAAATTTGTAATCACCTTACACAAAAAACTAGTAAATTTAAAACATGTTAAAATACTTGGGGTCCAGGTGGAGACTATAAGCCTCTAATATCTCTTTAGTATTTATAGTTCATAATAATACTCAATAATTTACTTACCAATTATCATTCCTGTTGTTAGAGTTAATAAATCTGCACCTGAAGTGTATTTATGGAGTGGAAAGTCACTAATATTTACCGTGTCATTATCTATGAGTGTTATTAATGATTTCTCCTGCAATATTATTTGATACTTGTGCTTGGTTTTTTTATAATCTTTATTAACTTCTCTTAATGCACCATGTTCAATCATTACAACGCTGTCCTTCTAAAATGTGATATAAATTATGAAATAAAATCATTTTTCAATAATATTAAATATTAATACAACACACCAAATACCAAATTACCTATTTTTGGTGCTCACATAGTGCGTGCTTGTAATTAAGTATTTAAATTTCAAAATTATTTACTTAAGATAATGTCTGAGTATAATTTTTGTTTCCTTCCTCTGACCATCTGCGTGTTAACAAAATATATTGATACAATATATTTGTTGAGTGGTTTTAGATAAAATTATCTATTATAAAAAATATAGAGAATATTTTTGAAAGTTTGATGTACCTATCAATTTTGTGTTTTATTTATTATTTGGCTTTAAAAATTAATATGTATTAAACATTTTAATTGACATTGGGTACATTTTTTTTTCAGACAATATTTAAACAAATTTATTTGTTTAAGTTTTAAAAATATTATTTTTATATAATTTTTGTCAAAAGGTAATTTAATAATTATAATAGTTATAATAATAATTATAAAAATAAAAATAAATAAATAATTTTATATATTTTGAGTGTGGGTCAGAGAAAGAGAGAGAGAGTGAGTGAGAGAGAGGAAACCTCAAATTGTACGCTGACATCCTTTTATGTAACTAAAGAAGGCAAGAAGGTTAGTGCCATTGGTTTAATTGAGCACGGAGGTCTCCCCTTTTAATAATTTACATTTTCCATCCCACCACTTACTTTGTCGAAATAATACAGCCCCCTTATTAGTTTTACAATAATTCAATGAATGATGATATTTATTAATAATTAATATTATAAATATTATTAATTTTTTGATAAGAAACCAGTACTTCTTTACCAGTACTTGTTTGTTAGATTAAATTGGGCCATATGGATCTAATAAATCTAAGCGTAGGCACGTGTTTTTATAATTGTATGATGATAATAAGATAATATATTAATGTATTATAATTTTGGTTGTATTTAAAAAAGTTTAGCTTTTTTATTTTTTATAAACATTTTCTGTATAGATAATGGTATAAAGCATACTGTTAGTATTTATAAGTTATGTACAGGGTGATTTTTTAAGCATGCTCACCCCTATTTTTCACTTTGAAAGTAGATGCATTTATTCAAATTACAATTTTTAGAATTTTTAAGTGTTTGGGTAGACCATATTTTCAAATTCTGATATTTTTTGTACTACTTAATGAGTGTCCTGTGGAGATACAAACTTATATTTTTCAAATGAGAACCACCCCCCTCTTTCAAATTATTTAAAGGTTGATTTTCTTGAAAATTCTGAAGTATCTAAATTCTAATGAGTACCTAGGTACCTAGTTTCTGAGTTATTAAAGTGTTTATACTAAGGATAATAATCCTTAAAAATGGTTTTGTATAAAAATACATACACTATATTATTATAATATTATGTAATACATCATATATTTTTAAAAATAATTTATATTGATAAATCAATAGTAATATTCTGGGCTCTTAACTAAACCATAAATGAGGACTATATAAATCGAGGGTATCCATTCACTTATTTTGAGCCACTTCAAGCACTGGTTAATAGTTTAATACAGATACAGAATAATGATAATAGCTAATATATATGGTTGTATAAATAATGTATATACACTACGTATATCGATACTTTTGGCTATTTCTATAGTAAATATAAACTTAATAGTATACCTACCTACATAATCCATAATATAATATTATATTATAATTCTAATTTAAATTGCCGTTGCAATTTAAAAAAAAAATGTTCTATAATTTTTAAAAGTGAACTCTTTAATTGAATTAACTTTAAATTTGTATTACCTAACATTTTCGACATAATATAATTAAGTAATAAATAATATCAAATATATTTACTGGTAGTTTCTCAGCAAACGTTTGGCAGTTTTTAAAAGCCACAACTTCTATCTCTGAAATGTTATCAAAAATGATTGCATTGAGATGAAAATGTTCAGTTGAATTTTTATTCTGTAATACTTCGCAAAACTTAACCCTTCCTTTTACAACGAACCTGATCAAAATAATTAAACCTTTATAGTTTTATGAGTGTATTTATTATTTTAGTTAGATATAGGTACTTACGGCTTTTTCATATAAGATTTATTTATATTTTTTATTTTTACCGGCTGCATTTTGTTTTGTAAGCTGTCAACATAAAAACATCACAAAATTAAAATATTTAACTTTAATTTTCACAGCTCAAGATTGAACAACAACCGTGAGCGTGATTCGTCGGAAAGTGATATAAAGGGGTATTCGTAGCTTCGCCGCAAATCCCACAACATACGAAGTACCTACGAACAAGTGAGCAATTTTATTTTAGATTTAAACAAATTCGTCGTTTCTGAATAATTTAATAATTTCTATAAAACAATCTATAGAAGTTATGTTGGTAAGATGAGAAGAAAAACCAAGCTTAAAATATTATTATTTGGTCGGTCGTCACTTTAATTATTATAAATGGTATAGGTATCTACTGTTGCAGTCATAGATGACCTATAAACTAACTTATAAAGGTCTATGGTTGCAGTCGGCTGATCGAAGCATATACTATTATACTACCGAGTTCAGGTGATAAACCATATACCTACCTACACTACGATAAACACTCGCGATTATTTTTGAAATAATAAAATTATATAATAGACAATAGTTGTTATATAAATGCTCATATTTTGTCATTTGGCTATTTCTCATTGTATATTATAATTTATATGTAGCCAGTAGGTTAGAGATGGCCACGAGTACCTTTTTTATCTGGTTTCTTGCTACATTTTAAAATTATAGGTAGGTACAAGGTACTAAAATATACGATTTTAAAGTTTATCAATTATCGGAATTTATAAATTTCGTCGTTCGTAAAATGTAGATATTAATAATTCTTATCTAAAGTATATCAAGCCTCATATAAATTATTAAATGTCCAAATATAAATTATACTATTATATCCATATAGGCTATATCCCATACGTCTTATTGTACGTGTGCCTATAATCTACCTACCTATATTATTTTATCGGCTAGATCGTAGCTGTTGTGTAGCAACTCTTGCAATTCACAATAATTGGCATTGGTAGGCAGTGGCGCCGAACCTTTTTTAAACCACTGAGGTAAACATTGTTTAAGGCCACCCACCTACGCCTACCTACCTTTTATATTATATAAAAGCAGTCACTCATGACTTACCCACCCCCCCAATCGACTAAAAATGATCTGGGGTAAATACCCCCACCTGGCACTTGTCATATGTGTTCGGCGCCACTGTTGGTAGGTATTTGGTTTTATTATTGTCGTGTTTTGTAATGCTTGAAGAATGTCCATTAAAAAGAGTAAAATTGACGATTATTTGAGTAGGTATACCTACCAACATGTCAAAAATTGGGATATACGTCGATAGATAGCGGATAATTGATAGCGCGACAATTGATAGCGGTCAATTTATAGCACGTAAATTGATTGCGAGCGACTTTTGATAGTTTGACAATTTGTAACATACTAAAGAATTAGATGACCAAACAATTATCAAAAAAAATATACTATATAGTAATAAATATTGCAATCCATAATTAAAATTATATATAAAAATCTTTATTAACTAAAAATTATCAAGTATAATATGTTATAACTTATAAGTCATAATTTACGTGTCATACTCATAATTAAAATTTAGCTGCCTAAAAAAAATATATTATAAACATTTTATTAAAATTATTAAGTATAATATTTTATAAGTCATTTTACATGTCTGTCATAATTAAATTTTTTTCGAAATGGTATATGAAACCATCATCAACTAATATATTTGAACCTCTTTCACTTTTTACATATTTTAAAGACATTTTAAAATTACTATATTATATAGGCAATTGTTAGAAGTAGTACTGTTGTATGGTGTTGTACCGACTGACAACTGATATAGTTTATGGTACAGGTACTACAGTGTAGGTATTGAATTGTCTCATTATCTATGTTGCCCATATTATTTTAGATAGTAATATCTATTAAGTTTCCAATCATGATATATTTTATCATTATCAAATATTTTATATTTTATCATATACTAGCTCTAAGTATAACTCGGGGTCCGTTGGAATCGCTGAGAGTGGGTACCGATTTTGGAGACAATGAATTATAAAAGTCGCAAAGGTTGTAATTTGTAAGACGAAAGTTTAGGATTTGTGATAAGGATTAGTGATATGGATTGGAGATAAGGCTAGACGCTTTGGCGGGAATGTTAAAAGTTTGAGTGTCTAGCAATCCGTCACAAACGTTGTAAATGGATAGGCTGCCAGGCTGGATACGATCTCCAGGATCACCTATATAGAGTATAGCTGCACATAGAGTGGTATGTGCCGTAGCATGAACGGTGCTTTATCTTACCTATGTAAAAAGTGTAAAGTCGAAAACCGTGTTGGAGTTTCTAGCAAGTCAGTCATCTCAAGTCAAAATCTATTAACTTTCAAGTTAGCCACTTAGGTAGGCAATCCGACTTCGTCGGATCGCGGACTATGTGCCACAGCAAATCAGGTAGGCAATCCACCTGCGGTGGATTGCAGACACGACATCAAGCGGCTATAAGTGAAAACCCTATCACACAACTTACGAAATTATTTACGAAAAATTCAAACTATATACATACAAACAAATATGATATGTATTTATTGTGTGATATAATATAACAATGAACATTTTGAGAAATGTGCAATTATAATTCCTAAAAAATATTAACATATAGGTAGGTAGTTAGATACATACTATTATATTAACCAATACATATAAACATGTACCTATAGTGTAAATATATTAATTTTAAAAAAAATTGCAAAAACCTGCATGTTATTTGTTAAAGTGTCTATCAAGTCAATCATCACCGTTTAAGACGAAACTAAAATGAGCAATCCGTCTATCACCTATATATAGTAGGTATATCACATAGAGTGGTATGTGCCTTCGCATGTCCGGTGCCTTTTCTTATGTAAAAAGTGTAAAGTCAAAAACCGTGTTGGAGTGTCTAGCAAGTCAGTCATCTCAACTCTCAAGTCAAAATCAAGATTAACTTTCAAGGCAAACCGAAATAAAATACAAACTATATTTATATAACAATCATGGAAATTTTAAAAAATATGCAATTTTAATAATTCCTAATAAAACAAATATAATATGTACCTATTTATTGTGTGATATAAAATGATAATGACTTTAAATAATAATAATGTACGATATGTTCCTGTATTATTATATTATTATTTAATTTATATGAAAAATAACGTGAAAAAAAATGCAAAAAAAATCCTGATTTGGGCGGCCGTGTAAACCATATGGCATTGACGGTTTCAATGCCTGGACGGCGTACGACGGATTTGAACCCGGGACCTACGTGTTTCCTGCCTAACGCCTAACCTACTCGGACACAGTTTGAGATATGAAAGACAGTGAAAACATCAACAATTAAGCCGTGCGACTACGGAGCGACGTAAACCGATATTTCCGATGTACATCGATGTAATCGCATATAATTCGCTTGTAATACGCGCATCTCCCATATATATATTAACGGGGCGTGTGAAAAGCGTTTTCCGTTAATAATTATTAAATCATAAGGAAAAATTAAATTATACACCTATATACATGTATATATACGCGTACGGCTGGTCGGTCGCCGGCGTAATTTCCAAACGCGATTGCGAGGCGAACGAACCGATTTTGGGGGAAAAGCGCATATAAACGGCTTCAAAAAGACTCGATTCGGACACAAACGGGTGCGAATAGACGAAACGGTGGGAGAAAAGGAAAAAATCGGCAAAAAAGTCCGGTCGGGAGTGTATTTATTGATCGACATTGCACGAATATAAACCGCACACCGGTGGCTTCGAATTAAGTATATAAAAGGGCGAAAAGATATCGTGTAAAAACAGCTAATTTTCCGAAAATCGGCGAAATGATAGGAAAAGAGGTGATAACGAAAAACGTTTTAAAACCGACCGCCGCCACTGCGAAGGTACGCGATTGGTCGCGCTATAAGGAATCGACGGGACACGGCCGGCGGGCTGGGGAAACGGAGCAGTGCTTCATTTTTTACGCCAAGGGTTCGCTATAGCCGGCGTTTTCCTTTCCATTGGACCCCAATATTATCAGTCAGCTGTTCTTCATTTTATAGTATTAGATTTTATTTGGTTTTTTTTCGGTTAATAATTGTTTGATTATTGAATTCTATACGACGCTACGAATTGTCATACTATCAAAAGTCGCTCGCGATCTATTTACGCGCTATAAATTGACCGCTATCAATTGTCACGCTACCAATTATCCGCTATCTATTGACGGGACACCCAAAAATTGTGTATGTTTAATACTTTAATATATTAATAAAAACGTTTTTCTAAATTTTTACATTTGGATATTTTGACTGATTGCCGTTTAATTTATATAAATGTAAAATATTATTGCAGTACTAAAATATATGAAAATCTATAAAAATGTTATACATGACATGATGTCGTCAAAATATGAAACATGCACTGGTGCCGCAAGAGAAAGTGTTGTATCTATCTAATTGATCTTAGTCTGTTCTTAAAAGAATTAATTCCAACAAAATGTGATGATATAAAAGCAATAATTTCACAACAGTTAACAATCAAATGTATTGGCTTCGTATAATATTATTCTAACACATCCTCAAAACTCCCATTTTGAACACAAATTGTAAAAATGAAACAAAATAAATTATAGTTATTAACTAGGTACATAGGCGCAAATAGGGGGGGGCTTTAGGGGCTAAGCCCCCCCAAACACTTCAATAGCCCTCCCAAACATTTTCTGATTTTTTTTAAGCCTTTTTAGTATTATTATAGTTTATGATGCAAAATTCGTGTTTGTATTTTTAAGATTATGTACCTAATTCGTAAATGAACAAATTTTATTTGTCATGGTATTATTTTTAATTTTTATTATTATTGTAGACTTGTAGCCATAAACCATAATACCTACCAAGCGGTGCAACTCGTTTGCGCACAATCCAAATTGTTTACCTAGATATCGATGACTCGTTTGCGCACAACGAATACCGTCGTTAACCTAAAAACGGACGACTCGTTTGCGCACAACATAAACACTGCATAACATATATTTTATATTTTTAAATTTGGACTAACTTAAGTAATTGATTATCAGTACATCAGCATATCAATATTCAATATATCATTATCATCATTGAAAATAATCGACGTGTATTAAACATAATATTTTTAAGCAGTCGTTCTCCAGAAAGCGGTACTACCTACTGACT